GATATATATATATATATATATATATATAGATATATATATAGATATATAGAGACATATATATGTATATACACATATACATATATATATATATATATATATATATATATATATATATATATATATATATATATATATATATATATATATATATATATTTTAGGGAGATTATAATTGTTCAAATTTTATGAATTACTCAAGTACATAAGAAGTTTCGTATTATTCCAAGTCAATTGTGTGTCCTAAATGTCATACTTCAAAATATATTTTCAATATCTTGTAGCGAATATTGTGTTTTAATTCTCATTTTGTTGCATTAGAAGTTTGGAGGGTTAATGGCATTTTGCCCCCCAAACTTTGACGCGTTTTGCACATTACCCCCTAGACTAAAAAAATTGGCACGATGCCCCCCGAACTCTGTTATTTGGAGCACCGACCGTGAAATTGAGAATTTCCGGCCAAAATTGCACGTGAAATGCTTGCGTGGCACTTACACGTGATTTTTCAAGGGCAAAATCGGTAAATCAAGTTTATTTATTTTGCCACCAATTATGTTCCGCCACATAATCATCTTCTTCATCAGCATTTCATTAGCCCATTTTCTCCATTACAACAGCAAATTCACCCATTTTCAGCAACATCCATTATCATTTATCCATCTCCTCAACAAATCTACATTCCCCCTTTTTCTCTAGTAATTTAAAAAAAAAAAAAAAATATGGCAAACAAACACGATCTATCCGAGTATATTACACCGTTTCGACAAATATTGTGAATTGCAGTTTCTGGTGTTGCTGCCCAGCCAATTGGAAGCCAAGTGGTTTGGGTCCTATAATCGAACATCTAACGATGTTCAAGGGGAGGAATTGGCCACTTACTTTGCCGGAAATAGATTGGTGGATTTTGCTCCGGCGGTGGTGATGGGTGTTGCTTTATATTGCAGAGAGAAATAGATTGGTGTCTTTGTACGATATTTTCTCAGTGCTACAACAAAATTGGATTATGCAATTTCCAAGGCCTATGAATGTCTTGGAGGTTGTTCGATGGGTAAAATATCATGATTCAGGAAGAGGGTGTTATTCTTGGGGAATTCAGATTTCTCTCTCTTCAAACGAATTTTATATAAATGATATACAACATTTACTATCAAAACAACAATAATTATCTTGATTTATGTGTTTCCGGAAATTAGGGTGAATCTGTTGCGGTCATGGAGAAAATGGGTAAATGAAATGATTATGAAGATGATGATGACGTGGAGCAATACAATTGGTGGTAAAAAAGGAACAAAGTTGATTTCACGATTTTGCCCCGGAAAAATCACGTGTAAATGCCACACCTGCAATTTTGGCCGGAAATTCTGGATTTCATGATCGGTGCTCCAAATAACAGAGTTTGGGGGCATCGTGCAAATTTTTTTAGTCTAGGGGGTAATGTGCAAAACGTGTCAAAGTTTGGGGGGCAAAATGCCATTAACCCAAGTTTGGAACATCAATTTTTATGAAGTGTCTTATCGCATTTTATATAATTTACTTAATTTTTCTTCTTGTAGTTTTCTTCCTTTTTCTCATAGAAATAACCTTTTTCCTGAGAGTTATTTAAATGTTATCCAATTCGAAGTTATTATTTACTACCATAACTTAAATGGTAAATGAATACGCATAGGTAACCGAATATTGATGGTAATGGTTATGATATTTCTAATAAAAAAAGAATTAAATAATTTTGGTATGGTTATGGTTTAGGTGCTAAGACATTTAAAAAGGAAAATAATTGTTATAAATATCTGTTGTGGCGGCGCCATATTAGTGGCGGGCATAAACCTTTACGATATTTGTGTGACGGTTTTAAAAATCAGGTTTTTTACGGTGAGGCGGTCCGAGGCGGTATGTGGCGGGTCAAACCGATATATCGGAAAAATATTTTTTTCTAATTTTTTTTGTTTTTTTTATTACAAGAAAAATAGGGTGTTTATTTTATTTTATTTTTATTTTTTTCATTTCGAACCAATTATATTTTTCAATCAAAGTCAAACTCACCGACCCCGTAATAAGAACCTGGCCTAAAAAAACACAAAACAATCTATACACCGCGGCGGCATTCTCTATCTCCCTATTAATGTTAGACTTTTGTTATGTGATTAGAATATATAAACTATGAGGAGAGAATCATGTTCAATTTTTTTTTATATATTTTAAGTATTTACAAATAATATTTAGAAATATATTACACAAAATCTAAAAATAAATTTATTTCCGATATATCTCCGATTAGTAACCACCGCGCCGATTTATCATGTGGCGGCCCCTAACCGCCTTGGACCCTATAACCGATATTTAGAACCTCGCTTAAAATACCAAAAAAAAAAAAAAGAAAAAAACAGAAGAAAGGGAAAAAAAAAAAAAAAAAAAAAAAAGCCCAACATAGTACCGAAAACGCTGAGTGATGTAAAAACGCATATTCCCTGTATTTTTGTGTTCTCACTCTTTTCCATTGTTGTCTTCGATTCTCTCGAGAAGGAGCAAATTAATCAGGTTCGGATTCTCTACTCACAGTCAAGATCACAATTTTGTTTTTTCTTTAATCGCGTTTTTAAATTCAATTAAGGTAGAACAATTAGTGAGGGCTTTTCATTTTTTCTTTTTTTTACATCTGTCTTGATTCTTCAATTCAAGTTTTTTCTCTTCCGGGTATGTATGAATACGATGGCGCTATTAATCGTTTTCTTTTCATTTCATTTTTTTACATTTATATATTTATTTATTTTTAATTATGTTGATCTAATTGCCTTGCAACATATATATGTTCACAAGATTGTGTTAGTGTATGTATCTATAATGAAGAAAGAGTATGTATTATTATGATGCATTGTCTTATCTACAAAAATAATTTCAATATATTCGACAGATTAACTAAATCATTTTGAATCCCTTATCAGAAAATCTCGTAAAATGGAAGTTGGGGGTAATCAAATTAGAGTGCAGTCGTTAGTGCAAGAAGGTAAAGTTGTAGTGCCACCTCAATACGTGCAGCCGCCTCAAACCAGACCACATCGTGTTCTTCGCAACACAAACAAGGGTGACGATGTCCTAAATCCACCCGTGATTGACCTCAGCAAAGTCAACTCTTTACACGAAGAATTGAGACGAGCGTGCAAAGAATGGGGAGCGTTCCATTTAACAAACCACGGAATTCCGGTCGAATTATTGGATGCGATGAGGAATGTGGGAAGCTCGTTTTTCGCAGACTGCACTATGGATCAAAAACTCAGTTACGGGTGCGACCCCAATTCCCCTGCTTCCGAAGGATACGGAAGCCGAATGCTGGTCCAATCGAACGATACCGTTTTGGATTGGAGGGATTATTTCGATCATCATACGTTGCCACTTTCTCGTCGGGATCCGTCCAAGTGGCCCCACTTTTCTGAAAATTACAGGTGAATCTGCTTTCTTGATTATTTTTTTTCGCTTCGATTTTGCGCTATGTGTAGAGACTGATTGGAAAGAAGTGAATGGGCAGAAAAGTTGTGGCGGAGTATAGCGATCGAACGAGCGGCCTAGCTGAAAAATTATTGGGTTTGATATCGGAGAGCTTAGGGCTAAGTTCTTCGTGCATCAAAGATTGTGTGGGTGAATTTTATCAGAATATTACGGTGAGTTACTACCCGCCTTGCCCGCAGCCAGAGCTCACTCTGGGTTTGCAATCGCATTCCGATTTCGGTGCCGTTACGCTTCTCATACAAGACGATGTGGGAGGGCTTGAGGTGTTGAAAGATGGTGAATGGATCTTTGTTAATCCATTACGCGACGCTGTTTTCGTTATTTTGGCTGATCAAACTGAGGTATTGCTCAATTGGTTTGACATTTTTTTTTCGTTTTCTTAAGATGCTGTCAGTGTGTGTTTTGCGCGAATTTAGTGAATGCTCGTGGTTTGTATGCAAAATTCTCTGTGTTCGAACACACAGACAAGTAGATTACAAGGAAATCGAAATAGTAACTAGTTTCTGATTAAATATACACCAATCTATATTAGATATAAAGAGGTGACTTGATGGTGGAGACTAGGGGTGGAAATTGGAACAAAATTTCCGATTTCCGCCAATCCGGATCCGAAATTTTCAGATTTTGAAACAATATTTTTTCAATCTGAATTCCAAAATTATTTGGATCGGAATTAGAATATAGATGACCTGATTTCCGAACTGATTTTAAGTTCCAAAATCAATTCCAAAAATTCTTATTTTTTTCCGAATATTACACTTAAAATATCAATATTATTATGGATTTTTGTTTTAGGTGATCAAATATTGGAAATTTCTGAATTCCACCAATCCCAATCCAAAAGTTTCCGATTTCCAATTTTTCCATTTTTTTTAACGTGATTGGAACTAGTGTTTCACTTCCGAGATATATTTTATTTTTATTTTTTTTAGCTGAAAGGGCTAATTCCTAGCCGATTATTGAGTATTGACCCCTCGTGCATTGCATGATAATATGATGAATGTGTATAAGATATAAATAGTCTTGAACGTTTTTCAAGAGTCTACACCCTATTTCTCGAGAAACAGAACACGTTCAAGACTATTTATATCTTATACAGTATGAATGAATGTAAAAGAAATACAAAACGCACTTGAATACAAACTAAATTGGTTAAAAATTAAAATGACTCGAAGGGGCATTTATACTCGTTTTTGTTGGCTTAATTATTTTATATTACATGTTTGTGTTATTCTTTCAGACAGTCGAGAGGAGTGTGTTCTAATGCTGATTGATTTGATCATCATCGTCTCATTTTATTATTTATTATTTCATTGTACTTACAGATTATAACAAATGGAGAATATAAGAGTGCTCAACATAGAGCTATAACAAATTCGAACAAGGCACGTCTTTCTGTTGCTACATTTCACGACCCTGCAAAGACGAAGATAATAAGCCCAGCTATCGAGCCGCATAAATACCGACCGGTGATGTACGGTGACTATGTTTCGTCATGGTACACTAAAGGGCCCGAAGGAAAACGGAACATCGACGCGCTTCTGCTTTAATTCGAAAAAAAAGGGGAATATGCAGTTAGAATATGCTAATTTAATAACTATTATTTAATGCCATATGTTTTGGTGTTGTAGTTTAATTGAATTTTTGGTGCAAAAATTCTCATGAATAAAGCAGGGTATTGTCTGGAGCTTTGGTGTCTTTTTGTTGTGAAGTGTCCCCATCTGTCTGACCTTTTATTACTTTATCTTTTCTAACACTCTTTCTTTCTATTTTATTTATTATTATTATTTATTATTTTTCAGAAATTAATCTCTTTATTTCAGTTGTATTTAATTTAATTTTATTAATTGATCTAGTTCTTTTTCTGTCCACTGCACTCTGCATGCTTTTCAAAATCTGAAATGCTAATTGCAGCCGGACTTTTACTGAAATTGACTTATTTGCAGCGGTAGTCTCATTTGTTAATTTACCTTGACATGGGATCTCCTACGAGGCCTCAGGGGTCGCAGCAACTTCCCTTGGGTGGTAGGTGGAGATTTAACGAAGTTCTCTCATGCACGGGAAAAAAGGGTGGCTTGCCAAAATTCGCCTATCAACTAGCATCGTTTCGCGAGGCTTTGACGGACTGCTCTCTCTCGGATTTGGGGTTCACTGGCCCCCTATTTACTTGGTCTAACCGTCGGATTCCTCCAAATACGGTGAGAAGTAGACTTGATCAGGCTTGTGGGGACGGCAATTGGAGAGACCTTTTCCCGAGTGCTCGTGTGGAACATCCGGAGCTTGCAGGATCGAACCACCTACCAATCCTACTGCGTTTGCATGTTAATGACCACCATACGCTGCAAAGGGGTCGCCGACCCTTTCTCTTTGAGGCTATGTGGCTTCGTCGGGATGAGTGCAAGGGGATTGTCCAAAATCACTGGTCGGATGAGCAAATTTTGAACCCAATTGAGGACATGCTCGACAAGACGGACAGTTGCAAACTTTCTCTCTTAAGTTGGAGTAGGTCAGATGCTACGAATCCTAAAAAGCAGATTGCCAAAATTCATAAACGATTAGCTCAGATTACGATGAGCGAGGTGTCTGAGGCAGAGGCGAGTGAGGCTATCTTATTGAAGAATGAACTGGAGAAATTATACGGATATTGGGATATCTATTGGCGTCAGAGGAGCAGGGTCCGAGAAGGGGACCGAAATACGGGTTTCTTTCATGCTAAAACATCCAATAGGAGGAAGAGCAACTGGGTTCATAAAATCAAAGATGATCGGGGCATTTGGCGAGAGAAAAAAGAGAATATTGAGCATGTGATCAGTGGTTATTTCTCCTCAATCTTTCAGACCAGCCACCTAGACGAGAGAGTGATGGAGAGAGTACTGGAGCACATCGAACCGAGGGTGTCATGCCAGGCTAGAAAATTTCTTTCCCTACCTTTCACAGCGGACGAGGTAACTCGTGCTATATCTCAAATGTCTCCCTCAAAATCTCCCGGTCCCGATGGTTTTCTAGTGTTGTTTTACACTAAGTATTGGAAGATTCTTGGTGACTCTGTTCTTAAATGCGTGTTAGATTTTTTAAATAACCGTCGGCTTCCGAGCAAACTCAACTTCACATTTATTGTTCTCATCCCGAAAGTGGTAAATCCAGAGAAAATTACTGAATATCGTCCGATTAGTCTGTGCAATGTTATATATAAATTCGGATCTAAAGTCATTGCCAATCGGATGAAAACCCTACTTAATGATGTCATTTCTCTAAACCAATCCGCTTTTGTTCCTAAACGTCTGATCACAGATAATGTTCTTGTTGCTTACGAGATCAACCACTTCATTAGATCAAATTTAAAAAAAACGGACAAATTATTTGGCAGCAAAATTAGACATTAGTAAGGCTTATGATAGAATTGAATGGGCTTTCTTACGCAAAATACTTGCTCGTTTAGGATTCCCGGGTGATTTTGTTGATTTGCTTATGATTTGTGTTTCCATAGTTTCTTATTCCCCGTTCTAGCCACGGAAAGCATTCCAATTGCAGCTTTTTATGTAACAACTTCTTCTTTCTCAGATCTGGCTCATCAAATGGCGTTTTTTAGCTTTCTTCAGGATTTGGCCCGAACTGTTCGGCAGTCCCATGCGTTACGCACCCGTTCGCCACTGTGTTCTCAACTCTTCTCACCTCCTGGGTGAGACAAGCTACCTTTAGCTAGGAGCCGCTTTTCTTGTTCCTTTTTAATGGTACGCAGTTTGGATCGCTCAAACCATCTCGAGGACTTCGGCAGGGAGACGCCCTATCTCCCTATTTGTTTATCTGTTGCACCGAAGCGCTTCTAGCTACGATCCATTCGGCGGTGGTGACTGGGGAAATCCGGGGAATCAAAATTGCACCAACAGCCCCAGTAGTTTCATGTTTGTGCTTCGCTGACGATACATTGATTTTTTGCAAGGCCTCAGATCATAATGCAGTAGTTCTTCGTCGAATTCTAAATGATTATGCGATGGCCTCGGGGCAAATTATTCATACTGAGAAATCAACAATTGCTTTCTTCCCAGCTACTCCTCTTTCCACAAAGACTTCCATTCACAATACTTGGGCTTTCAGGTGGTGGAGAGCATGAGAAATATTTGGGCATGCCAGTTACGATGGGAAAATCTCGTAAAGACATTTTCCGATTTCTTCAGGACAGGGTTTGGACTCGCATTGGCGGTTGGAGCGAGAAACTTCTTTCGAGGGCGGGGAAAGAAGTGTTGATCAAAGCAGTACTTCAAGCAATTCCCTCACATATTATGACATGCTTCTCTCTCCCACAGGGATTGGTAGATGAGATCGAAACGGCTATTCGGAAGTCCTGGTGGGGAAGTGGTCGCTCGAGATCTATGGCTTGGACTTCGTGGCAGCACCTTTGTAAGTCCAAAGAATTCGGGGGAATGGGCTTCAAAGATCTCCGAAGCTTCAACATAGCCATGTTGGCAAAACAACTGTAAAGAATCCTAACCAATCCAGATTTTCTCCCCTCAAGAATTTTAAAGGCCCGCTACTTCCCGGTGGGTGATATCTGAACAACGGATGGTGGTACTCGTCCCTCGCGACATGGAGAAGTTTGCTATCAGCTAGTTCTTGTGTGAAGATGGGACTTCAAATTCGAATTGGTGATGGACTCTCGACCTCGATTTGGGGTACACCGTGGTTGAGGGACGGCGGCAGTGGAGTTATTTTCATCAAAAGGCCTTCTCACACAGCCTTCCCAAATTCGGTAGCGGACTTGATTAACCCGGATTCACAAACTTGGAACTTGAATATCATCAATGATACGTTCTGGCCCATTGATCGAGCCTGGATTCTGGAAGTCCCATCGGTTGTTTTCATGCGAAAGACCGCCTTGTGTGGAAGTTGTCTACACATGGCCGATTCACCGTTAAATCATGCTACCATCAAATCCACATCATTCGATCTTTTCTAGAGGCAACAGTAGGGAGCGGTCCCTCCTGGAGTTGTGAAGACCGGAAGAGGCAGTGGAAATTGGTATGGAACCTCTCAATCCCTCCCAAGATCAAACATTTTCTTTGGCGAGCAATCTCGGACATCCTCCCCACTTACGTGGCACTTTTACGGCGGCATGTTGTTCGCTCTCTGTTTTGTGGCCACCGTTGGATCCACCCAGAAACGACTATGCATGTTCTAGTGCATTGTAGAAACATTTCGAAGGTGTGGATGGCAGAGTCGTTTAACCTACGTGTGTGCGGAGACTTCACGTCTTTCCAGGCATGGTTATCTTTTCTTCACAAAGAGTTAACTAACGAATTATTTCTCTTGGCAATGGTGGTCTGCTGGAAGTTGTGGGAGCTGAGGAACAATGAAGTGCATGGGAATCCCGGAGTTGCAGTGGGTGAGCTGGTGTTATGGAGTGAGAGTTATTTGGAAGTCTTCCATCAGGCTCTAAGCCCTAATCTGCCTACCACGATTTCGAAAGTCAAGCACATTGGCAACCTCCTATGACAGGTATTGTTAAGGTCAACTTCGACGTTGTACTACCCCCAAAATGCGACATTTATTAGATGGCGATGGTAGCGAGGAATTCTCTCGGCCAAGTTTTGTGGTGGAATGTGGTTAGAGTACAGGGAACAGTGAGCCCGGTCGATGGCGAAGCTCACGCAGTGATCCAAACGGTCCTACAAGCGGCTAATCATGGATGGCCCGATATTATAGTGGAAGGCGACAATTTACGTGTTATTAAATCTATGCAAGAAGATGAGAGCTCCCTCGCTTCTTACGGAGCCTATCTAGACGATATTAAAATTCTTGCCATTACTTTTCGTAGTTGTTCTTTCTCATTTGTAAAGCGTGGTTGCAACCAACTCGCTCATGCTATTGCTACCTCTTCAGTTTTGGATTGTACGGAAGGATATTCTCTTCCTTCTAGTTTGGCTGATTCAGCCTAATAAATTTCGTTTTTTCAAAAAAAAAGAAAGAAAAGAGAAACATTGTTATTTTTTTTAAGAAAGAGAAACATGGTTACTTAATCACATACATTAAAATAAAAAATATGACATGTGAGTACAAATTAGATATATTGGGTATTAGTTGATAAATATTTATTTAGTTAAAGAGTGTTAATTCTAAGAAGATGAACCTTAAAATTAATATAAATGGATGTAGCTAATTGACTGACATGTGGAAGCATTAATTGAAATATTTGTTGTTTAAATTCTGCAATTAACTCACGTCTTTTTATTAACTACCCTAGTTAACTTTTGTGGGTTGGGTACATAATATAAATGGGCTATTAGTGAGAACCCCCTATAACATTATTTTAATAAGAATGGGTCCAGCTCATTTTCCTTTATTAGTGAAACTCTTTCTTTTTTTATTCTCAAATTTACCCTCCCACTATTTATTACCCATTATCCACTAGTTTGATGTATTTTTATTTTTTATATTTTAATCTTAATTTTTTTTATTTCTTCTTTAAAAAATAATATATCTTTTAAGAAAATTATTAGTTTTTTTAATTTTTTTAATATTTTTCATTAAATATTCCTTTCCTATATTATTTTAGATTTCAGTTAAAACAACTATATGCCAATGAAACGACTATTATTAAAACGACTATTATTAAAACGAGTATTATTAAAACAATTGGTATTAAAATCATGATGCATCAGTTTCACAATTTATTAAATTAATTCTATATTATATTATTTCCATTGTAAGATTAACTAATTATTTAATCAAAACATCTCCAAAACAACTATTTGTTAAATCAACTATTTATTCAAACCAACTAAAAAATATTGAAACCAATAATATTGTTGTGCAAAAACAACTATATTGCTATACGAAAACAACTATATTGAATCAACTACAAATTATTGAAATCCACAAAAGCAAAAGCAAAAAAACACACCAAAATTCCAACAAAAACGACTATTATTGAAACCAACTACAACCGTAATGAAAACAACTATATCTTTTTGAGTAACACGAACACAATTTCAACAAACGAGCCTCCCAAACAATACCTCCTCCTCAAGGTCAATCTATTCCATTACAGCGGTGGTGGAGGTGGTTTTCCGACGAGGATTGCAGGAATGCTTCCTAAAATCGAAAGAACAAAAAAAAATACCAGCAGATCTGCTCATCCCTCAGAAAGGAAGGGGGGAGACCCGAAGGCCGCCGTCCGTCCTAGATTCGGCGGCGTCGCCTTGTCGTTTCGAGATCTGGAGCCGGCTTCATCCTCTCCTTGCCCCACATCCGTCGGATTCCCAATTCGAGAAAGAAGAGAAAGGAGTCTTCCTCATCGTTGTTGAGATGTAGCGCCGCCTTCGTCACCTTCACCGCCGCCGGCATCGCAGTCGATACTAAGGAGTTTCGGTTCCACAAAAGAATAGAAGAGGTGATGGAAATTTGAGAACGGCGGTTTGTGGGAATTTGAGAACGGCGTATTGTTGCAGACAATATAGTTAGGGTTTGTAAATATAAGATTTGGAAAATTAAGGATAATATAGGTATAACACTTAATAATTGTATTAGTATTAATTTAATTAAATAATTAAGGGGTTCTCACTAATAATGATAAGGAGATTATATCCACCTTGATATAAGTAAATGAATTGGGGGTTTTTACTAATTATCCCTAATATAAATGGAACGGATGAGTTTCTTTAAAAGAATTTGTTTATATTATAAAATATATTATACAATTTATCAAATATTTATTGATCAATTGTAGATGTCATCCACTAGCTCTTCAAAACAATAAACATCAAATAATCATATACTTTAGTAATTATTTTGGAATTAGTAGAATACATATTTGTAATAATAAATAAATAAATATAAATTAGATTAGCTCATGAATAATTTTTTTCATTTCATCTTATTGTGTAAAAATTAAATGAGTATATGATCAAATCCAAACAAAAAATTAACTAGTGTGGTTAATAGAAAAGACGTTAGTGAATTAATAATTTTAAAACAATCAATTTCTTCTAAAAAAATGAAAACAATCAATTTCTCAATTAATTCATCCACGTGTCAGTCAATTAGTCGCATTCGTTTTTGTCAATTTCACAATTCATCCATTCAGAATGTAAACCCTTAATTAAATAACTTGGGGAATTTCGCTAATAAAGTAAAAGAGATTTGATCCATTTTTATTATAACGAATGAGTGAGAGGTTCTCAGTAATAACAAACACATAAAAGGTTCAAAATCGAAAAAAACAAAACAAAAAGTATATTCTATTATAGAATGTAATGTTATAATATTTAGTTTGTATAAAATATCAAAGTATACCAAACAAACATATATTGGCAATGCCATTTTTGTTTTTATTTTAGGCTCTTGCTTAATTTGAAGAGGGGAACAAAAAAGAAAGAGCCAAATAATATTCATATTTAATTGAAGATAAGGACAATAAGAATATGGATATTGTAATATTATGTAACTATCCAAATTTAATGTCTCATTCCACCACAACCTTAATATTACATGAGAGAATGAACTACACCCAAATAATTGAATCAATCCAATACTTTAAGTGGACCTCTCATTTCTCGACCTTATATATATATATATATATATATATATATATATATATATTTATATTAATATATATAATAAAATGCAATAAGGGCCCTAGATCAATACAATAAAATATTATTAATGATTTTATTTTTATTTTTATTTATTTTGTTGTAGTATGTATATTTATCAATTACAAATGCTCTAATTTAGAGCGAAAATGGAGGTGAATGGAAATTAAATACAAGTGATAGTATTTTCGATTTATTTTTCCGAAGCAAAACTAATTTAAATTCGTTCCAAGTTCTTTTAAGAAAATCAAACATTGAAATTCAAAACACAATTTTATTTAAATCAATATATGGTATAAAGTACAAAATAGTATTGTTATTATAAATACAATATTTTAAAAACCGTAATTTTTTATTATTTTCTAAAAACGTTAAATACCGGAAGTTAGAATTTCCATATATGTATAATTTCGATGATTATCCAATTATTTCAGAAAATATTAAACACTGGAATTTTTGAAATTCTAAAAAAATAATTCCTAATTCTGAAGTAAAAAAAAAATATTTAAAATAGTTAAGTGTGTATAAAACACTTTAGAAGGGAAAAAAAAAAGTGAGAAATTTAAAATTATTTAGCTAAAATGCAGAAAACAATTAAAAAAATAAGAAATAAAACCAGAACAAAAAAACAAATAAAATGAAAATTACTGAAACTGTCTCACTGTAACTGTCTCTGGTGTCAAAGTGTGTGCCCCATTGTCTTGTGTCTTTCTTTCTTTTAAAACATAAACTTTTTCTTTCTCTTTTTTAATTTAAATTTAGAAATAAAAATATTATATAAAAAAAAAGGTAATTTTGTATTAAATTTAACACACTGTCATGAACTCTAATGACAGCGATTTCCAGTTCCACTTCTACACTTTTCTCTCATATAAAGTGACACTAAAATAATAATAATTATTATTATAATAAAGTAAAAATTAAATATATACAATTTAACACTCAAAATATTACAACTGAAATTAAATAAAATCAAACTAGAAATTATTATAATTGAGAAAACAAAAAAAAAAAGGTCTCCCCAAAAATCAAATGTTGCTTCTTCAACAAAACATTCATCAGTTCCCAAGATTTCTCCATTAACACACACTAAACACATTTTCTCTCTCTCTCTCTCTCTCTCTCTCTCTCTCTCTCTCTCTTCTTCAGTTTCCTTTTATCTAGGGTTTGGGTTCTTCTCCGCTCCTCTGTTCTAGGGTTTTGTACCAACAGAATTTTGATTTTCATTCCCCAGTGGAACCCCCCACATTTTTGTTTCCTAGAAAAAGTGAACATTTAATAAATTTTGTTTATATTTTTATTGGAGCTGGGATTTGAGTTGGATCAGTTAAATTCCGAGATCGGAGCAAAAAAAAATCAGGGTTTAAGCTTGAAGAGGCGAAGATCGAGTTTGTATCTGTCAAATTGAAGTGCGATGTTGATTAGTAAGAGTTTGAATTGAAGAGAAATTAGAAGAATTGGGGGTTCGAAAACATGCATTTTGCTAAGCTTGATGACTCTCCTATGTTCCGTAAACAGGTTCTCTCTCTCTCTCTCTCTCTCTCTCTCTCTCTCTCTCTCTCTCTCTCTCTCTCTCTCTGTTTTTACTTTTTTTTACTTCTCTCACTTATTTTACTTCAATCAGCTAATCTGAGTTAGTATTGGTTTTTCAGTGATGAATTGATCAAAACTGAGTTGGGGATATGTTGTTTGGATTGTTATTATTACTTCTGATTTGTAGAAATCAATAATTTATTTAACTTAATTCTCTATAACTAATTGTGATTATGCTCGTCTCTCGAAGAAGTGGTTGGTGTTTCTGTACTTACGGTAGTTATCTATGGCCTAGCATTGTAATTTGATGGTATTTTAGGTTCAATTGTTTCAATTATGAAGGAAAACTAGTCCAATTTTTTCGATTTCTATTGGTATTCTTGTTCAAGGGAAAAACGAGGGGAGTTCTTAGGTTATGGAGTTTTACTTGTCACCGTTGTGATTTGTGATTCCCAGTAAGGAATGTTTGAATAAATCTATTTTGAAGGATGTCACGAGTAGTTATTTTTGTCATCAATGATAATAAAACGTAAGGAGATGTGCATTGAATTTGACTAATTTGAACTCATCGTATTATAAGACACGGTCCAAGGTGATTTGCAGATATAGTTAAACCTTCTGGAAGAAAGCCAGATGATTGAAGTCTTATAAATTTTTAGTTTCTTGAAATATAAAATTCTGTGTTATCCACACACGTGTAATTTGATTTTTCGTTTCGTTTGGTAGTTTCCTGAGAAAAATGCTCTGTGTGTGAACAGATACAAACCTTGGAAGAAGGTTCCGAATCCTTGGGGGAACGATGTTTGAAGTTTTACAAAGGATGTCGAAAATACACGTGAGAAACAAAATTCTTATTTTTCTGCTTTTGTTGTCTTCACATTATAGTATCTTTTTAAGTTAATAATTTGTTTGTAAATCAGAATTAGCATCGGAGTATCATTCCTTAATTTTTTATTCAATGTTTACTGCTGTTAATTTTTAGTGGTAGCCTCGACTTGAGACCACATATATCATTATTTGTCTGGCATGTGCTAATATTAAATTAGCACTTTGGTTAGGTCATATAATTCGAACCGTAAAATTAGTTTCACTTAGACGACAAAGAAAAGAAGAGGAATATATACTGTTGGCTAGAGAAAGTTATCTCCAAAACAATTGTTTTGTGGCTCTGATTGAAAAAGATCAATACAAATAGCAGTGAGAGGCACTGCAGTGTATCCTTTCTGTCTGCAAGGGGCGTTCCTCTTAATGGCCAAATTAAATATTCTTATTTGAAAATCGAAAAAAAAAATTGGCTTCTGAAATGTGGGCAAGGAGCGCCACAGGTGTTGTAAGCTGTCCGATTTATATATTCTTTCGGAGAAGAAATTAAAGAAAAAACGTTGATCTTGGATGCATTCCTATTTTTTATTCTGTGGTTTCTGAGTATTTTCGACTTTGCCAACGTTTCAAACGCAGGGAAGGACTTGGGGAGGGATATGATGGGGACATAGCTTTTGCGAGTGCACTTGAAACTTTCGGTGGTGGGCATAATGACCCCATCAGTGTTGCCTTTGGAGGTATAAATAAAATGTTTTAACTTTTATCCTGTTTGTAATGTATATATGCTTTGTGTACCATTCATCTTGCAGTATCGGCTTACATTTTAGCAGTCATAATCTATGTGTAATAACTATATACGTAAGACCCTCAAAAGTCATTATGCATGTGCAATAGTTATACATGTAATATCCTCAAGTATTAGTGCGTCGCATTACCTCTTTTATGACAGGTCCATTTGTTTGAGTTGCTGGATATAAAATCTTAGTAATTTAAACATTTGTTTGCACATCCTAATGTGTTTTTTCTTTGTTTGGATTCGAAGTGCTTCTCGTATTTTTATTTGATCGTATTGGGGTATGGTACTCTAAATTAGACATGAAGCAACTAATTTCATCTTTGCATGGTAGACGAGCTTGTAGTAATATTCTGATTAACATTGATGCTCATAATTTAAAAATATCAAATTGTAGGTCCGGTTATGACAAAATTCACTATTGCGTTAAGGGAAATTGGGACGTATAAAGAAGTTCTTCGATCTCAGGTAAAGTGATCGCCTTGGCATGAGTTTTCTGAGATGTTCTGTTTTTATTTCACTTACAATTCTCGGCCAAATCCTTAAACAAACACAATATAAGATATGCAGATTTTGTATGCGAGATAAGGGATCTATTGAAATAAACATTTTTGGTTTTAAAATTTCGTAGGGATTATATTATGGCTGTGTAAAACATAATGTTTGTATTTCTTTAAATTATGAAACATAAAACTTTGACAGACAAACCTAGGTACATTTGAATGGTCTTCGAAAAACTTTTCTTTTTTGAGTAGTTAAATGTCTTTTGGTAAACGAGTAGAGGAAATGCTAATAATACATAGGGAATAATGTATTATGCAATAAGACAATAACCTATATTTATTTAACCATCTGTTGCTGGTTTCCTTTTCTTTCCTTTATGAATGTGCAGGTCGAGAACATGCTAAATGAGCGATTGCTGCAGTTTGTAAATTTAGATTTGCATGACGTCAAGGTACTATATGTTTACCCTTCTTTACATTTTAAAACTTCGGTGGTGTTTGCAAAAGCTTTTGGTTTTGGTTCGCAATCTGTTTTGGGTTGTTTGCAAAATGCAGCTTATGCTTTTGCTTCTCTGAAAATAAGCTGTTTTAAGAGATAATCTCAACAGCATTTCTACATCAGCCTTTTTGGTCTTAAAGCTACAACTGTACCCGTATTTTTTTTATTTTTTTTATCTATATCCAATTTACATAAGGACATTTAAGATATTTTACAAAAATAAGGTGAAAATTAAAGTTAGTTTTGTGAACACATCAACTTATATTTCTTCTATGAGTTTATATGATTACCTCTGTTTTTATGTGTTCGCCCGACTGATATATTCACCCTGACTTTGACAGCTTTTGTCCACAATCTTCGTGATTTTTGATTGTTTTTCTTTTGTTAATTGATTTATGTTCTATCATTCAATAACGAATACTAATATGCAGGAGGCACGGAAACGCTTTGACAAGGCTAGTCTTCTTTATGACCAGGTGATATTTCATTTCGACTCCTCCATTCCCGCTTTTGCATTTAGTGCCCCAAAGCATTATAACAATGCAACTTATTGAATTTATAAATAAATAAATAATCTTTCACCATGCTGCTTCAAACTTTCTTGAATTTCGGTCCAGTTGGTCTTTCTTGAATTTCGGGTAGCAATAGGTTATACCCGATATAATTTCTCTCTCTATAGGCTATAACCATTTTTTATTATAACTAGTATATTGTTCATTATGTTATGAGCTAATATAGTGTCCTAATACTTACATGTTGAGACAGGCTCGTGAGAAGTTTCTGGCATTGAGGAAAGGCACAAGAAGTGATGTAGCGAGTCTCCTCGAGGAGGTAAATATTAAATTTTAATCCATAAATTGCATATTAACTCCCTATGCTGCCAATTTCTAATTTTATCCAATAATCCAGGAGCTTCATCATGCACGATCAACGTTTGAGCAGGCCCGGTTTAATCTGGTCGGTGTTTTTCAATTACATTCTGCTTATCTTTAAATTATTCTGGACGCAAATTGCAATTTTATAAACCCACATCGTGCTTAACGTATGTCAATCGTCCAGGTCACTGCTCTCTCCACCGTTGAAGCAAAGAAAAGATTCGAATTCTTGGAAGCAGTTAGTGAAACAATGGCTGCTCACCTTCGCTATTTCAAACAGGTAAAAAAACAAAACGGTCCAACTTCGTACACCTAATAAAAACTTTTTTAATTTTTTTCTTTTACACGTCTCATTTAATTCTCTGGTTTCGTGTAGGGTTATGAGCTGTTGCATCAGATGGAACCATATATTAACCAGGTTTGTCCTGACGTTTTGCTTTCTAATTGTTGCAGAAGTATTAAAAAAAAGATGATGTATATAATAGATAATGCATATATATTGTCCAGGTCTCGACTTATGCAAAGCAATCGAAAGAGAGATCAAACTACGAACAAGCAGCACTTAACGAGAGAATGCAAGAATATAAAAGACAAATTGATAGAGAGAGCCGTTGGTCATCAAATGTTTCGAACGGATCACCAAATGGAGATGGTATACAAACCATTGGTCGGAGTTCACATAAGATGATAGAGGCTGTCATGCTATCTGCTGCAAAAGGAAAGGTCAAAGAATATTAACATTTAAACAAATAAAAAAATAAACAAACCCCTCAGTTGGATTTTATATTATTCCCTTTTTATTTGCATTCCTAGCTGAAGCCTATTAAGATCTTTTCAGGTTCAAACAATTCGACAAGGCTATCTCTCGAAACGGTCATCGAACCTTAGAGGTGATTGGAAAAGAAGGTTCTTTGTTCTTGATAGCAGAGGAATGCTCTACTATTATCGTAAACGAAGCAGCAAACCTTCTGTGAGTTGATATTAGTTATATTCTTGCAATGATTATTATTACGAAAAAAGAACCCTTATACTATTCCTTATCAGGGATCGGGCAGTCAACTTTCGAGTCAAAGGAATAGTTCAGAACTGGGGTCTGGATTACTAAGTCGTTGGCTGTCTTCACATTATCATGGTGGAGTCCACGATGAGAAATCTGTTGCCCATCATACGGTTAACCTTTTGACTTCAACTATTAAAGTCGACGCCGACCAGTCAGATCTAAGATTCTGCTTCCGTATCATTTCCCCTACCAAGAACTACACTTTGCAGGTCTGTTTTTCTTGACCCGTTAATTTATATTTAGTGTTTGATGTTTGCTGGTTTTTGTATGGGGTAAAAATTCTTTTTCTTTTTGCTTGTCAGTGCAGGCAGAAAGTGCCCTCGATCAAATGGACTGGATTGAGAAAATCACGGGGGTGATTGCCTCGTTATTGAGTTCTCAGGGTCCTGAAAGAGTACGTTTTTTTTCTTCTTTCTTTTACATTAGTTTTGTCATTTTCTGACATTGTTAATGATTGAGAATTTGTTGTTATCGGTACAGGGTTTGCCTGCTAGTCCAATGGGCAGTGGCCATCATCGGTCAACGAGCGAGAGTAGTTCGTTCGAAAGTGCTGACTATGACCATGGAGCTGTTGAAGAATACACATCCGAGAGATTCGCCTCTTTGCATATGGACCGTCCTTTGAGAATCTCACAACAGCAAAGAACTGCTTTAAAAACCGAAAAGCCAATCGATGTATTAAAGAAAGTGTGTGGCAATGACAGATGTGCTGACTGTGGTGCACCTGAGCCAGATTGGGCATCCTTGAATCTCGGCGTACTTGTCTGCATAGAATGCTCGGGTGTCCACCGTAACCTTGGTGTGCACATATCCAAGGTATATAAATAGTCAAAATAGGTCTTACCCATTTATCTTTCTTTATATTTTATGTTTAAGAATATCACATATAAGTGGTTCTTGTTTTGCTTTTTTGGTACACTAGGTAAGATCGTTGACTCTCGATGTGAAAGTTTGGGAACCGTCTGTTCTGAATCTGTTTCAGTCTTTGGGCAACACTTTTGCAAATTCCGTGTGGGAGGAATTACTACATTCCAACGGTGTTTTCCAAGTTGATCTTGGTCCCTCGGGGTAATTTTTTAATTATTATTTTTGGGTGTAGAATTGTCGTATAATTTAATTTGATGTTATATTCTCTGTATGTCACTTATCTATTCCTCTTTTTGTGAAGATTATATCGGACTAATAAGCAGCAAATGGTGTACTTCAACAAGCCTAGTCCTGCTGATTCGATTTCTATGAAGGAAAAATTTATTCATGTCAAAGTAAATCTCCTTTTTTTGTTGCTTTCTTTTACTGTTTTGGTTAAAGTTACCTTCTGATTCAGATTTATGTTTTGTTTTCTGACAGTATGAAGATAAATTATTTGTTCGGAAGCAAAAAGAAAATCAATCAGTGGCACAGCAAATGTGGGATGCTGTTCGTGCGAATGATAAGAAGGGCTTGTATGGTCTCATTGTTACTTCAGAAACAGATATTAATGCTATTTACAATCAATTAGAAACGACAAGTAACCCTTCTCTTACACTTGCCAAAGTAATGCTTTTGCAAGAGCAAACTGCCATCGACCCCTACTCTGCTGAGTTGTCATTACACAAGACATTTTCGGGGTCTTCTTTAAACCCGACAAAAAGTACAAGTGATGATGTCATTGTCAATAATAGTGTAATAATAGATGATCTTGATCTTGATGGTTGTTCTTTACTTCACCTTGCTTGTGAAACTGCCGATATTGGAATGATTGAGCTTCTTTTGCAATACGCTGCTTATGTTAACGCTACCGATTCCAAGGGGCGGACCCCACTTCATCGGTGTATCATTAGAGGCAAAACTACTCTGGCAAAACTTCTCCTCACAAGGTAAAATTTTCATTTACATTTATCTATCGGAAATAATACCGATTTGACTTCAAACGTCATTTGACCAATTTCTAGTCTGATTTTGGCAAAATTCAAGCACGGAAACTGTACTATTTTGAGCTAGCTTTCTAATACATCTTGAATCAGCATAATTGGATGTCGGGTGACAGGGTTATGTACGAATGAGTTACATTTTGAACGTTAGATAACTCAAACCATCAAAGTTCCAGACAGTATTCATTAGTCCATGCATATCTTTCTAATCAGACATCCAATTTTTATTGATTCAAATTGAACTAGAAAGCTAACTCAAGGAACTATAAATTTAGTGTATTTTGCCAAATTCAGACTCGAAAATGGTCAAAATTACGTTTGAAGTCAAAACAGTATTATTAAAACTGAAACGACATTTATCACATCCCTTTTATTTATTCATGTCATTTTACATATATACGGATGTTTGTTGTTATTGAGTTGTGTTATGTTTTGAATTCAGGGGAGCAGATACACAGGCCGTGGATGAGAAAGGTAAGACACCTTTTCAAGTTGCGGTCGAATCAAATTTTGATGACGTTGAGGTTCTTGCATTGCTGTCGGACACGCATCATCGATGAAGTCATGATGATGAGGTTAAGAGATATAGAGAGAGAATGAGTCTACTGTAATTATGTATTTATAGCTTCATCTCCTCTTTTCTCAATATTTGATTGCTGCCCGAGCCTATGATGAATTCGTGGTTGTTTTAGTTTGGCTGTGTTGTTTAATGTTTGTGAGAACTAGTGGAACAAAGCTTTAGGTCTAAGAGACTGTAACGTAATGTTGATTCACCTATTATTTGTCACGCGTCTTTCTTCTGGTGATGATTGGCGGTTTGAGGTTTTTTTTTTCTTTTCTTTTTTCTTCGTCGGTCGGTTTCTCTGTTTTGTTGTAAGTAAATGTTAGTTTTTCCGAGTTAGGATGTGAGGGTTTGATGAGTTGTAACTTTTGTGTATACACTTTGATTTGGAATTGGAACAAGAAGAGTTTTGCCTTGTTGCATCGATTGTTGTGAATTACGACTGCTGGATTTGGTGTTGCACTGAATTTTCTTTTTGATGTATTCTTTTCTCTACTGCACAATGTCGATATATAATTGATCGAAAATTTCTACATGTGTTACACGAATCCCGTTTGGCATAAACAGAAAATGCAAACTTGTACACGATTGAATTGAAAGCTACTACAGATTTTTTTCGACTTCTTGATTTTGATACTCTAATCAGCTTTCAGTTTCTGACGTATTCTCGGATATATGAATTCTGTTATGGGAACTTGTTTCGACTTTCGATTTACACTACCCGTAACAAGTTGTGAACCGCAGTGCAAGCTCTTTGTTTAGGGCTCTGAAACCCGTTATAAGTTATAACACTATTCCTTCGTGTTTTGAAGCACGGAGCTCAATTAATCGACGTTCTTCACCTAATTTTTTGATTTTTTTTTTTTTTTAATTCAGTATGTATGTAACATATTGATCATTGTTGTATAGTCGATAAATTAATAATCTCTCGCTTAGATAATAATTTATCTTGGTACAAACTCGGTCACAACGTTCTAAATTATTAACTTCATGATTTAATATTCGGCCAAGTTAATAGAATTCCCCTAGTCTCAACTCAATTATATTTTAATTGTATAAAATTTAACTCAAATATATCAGACAGACTAACCATAAAATTGAATGTTCACTATATTTTTTTCTTTTAATTTAGGGTAAATTCCACTTTACCCCCTCGTACTTTTCCTGAGAGTCACTTTACCCCCTCGTACTCTCAATTTTATCGATTTACCCCCTTGTACTTGCACAATTTCCCAATACAGCCCTTTCCTTCAATTTTTGTCAATTTTGACTCTAACGCCATTTGGTCAACTCTGTAAATTACAAAATTGCCACTGCCTATAACGCGTCGTTTCTCCTCCGTCAATATTGTCATTTCTTCTTCTCCCACCACTTCCCCTTCCAAGATATCCCCAAATTGAACCCCTAACTTAGTAAAAATCAAGACCCAAAAATTGATCGATTCCACCCAGTGCAAAGAAAAAAATATATGAATGTGTAAAAACTTTCTCTTTTCTAATCTCGAGAGTCAAAATCGAAAAAATTCAATATTTACGTCAATATTTTGACTCTTGACCAAATGGCGTCAGAGTCAAAATCGAAAAAAGTTGACGAAGAGGGTTGTATTGGGAAATTGTACAAGTACAAGGGGGGTAAATCGACGAAATTAAGAGTACGAGGGGGTAAAGTGGTTCTTGGGCAGAGTACAAGGGGGTAAAGTGGAATTTACCCTTTAATTTATGTTTGGAAATATACTATAAATAAATAAATAAATAAAGGGTAAATTACAACCACACCCCTGAGGTATACTTAAATAACTTTAAGGTCCCTGTGGTATCGATAATTACACTCACCCCCTTGAGACATAGTTATAAACTCCAATGGTATAATGCATTGGATACGTTATTACGATAGAGTTCTAACGGACTATTGGTTTCAGGAAGTGGTGAAGACAACAAAAAGTTATGGGTGATTTAAAAAATATTGGGGGAGCCATGTCATCCCATAACTCCCCATAACTCTATGTTATCTCCACAACTAGCTAAAAGTAATAGTCCATTAGAACCCTATCGGAATAATGTATGCAATGCATTATCCCGTTAGAGTTTTTAACTACCTTTCAGGAGGTGAGTGTAATTATCGATACCACAGGGACCTTACAGTTATTTAAGCATACCTCAGGGGTGTGGGTATAATTTACCCATAAATAAATAAATAAATAAATAATTGGATTGCAAATAGAAATCTAGAATTTTATGGAGCAATTTAAAAAAAAAATGGAGATATAGTTGGCGAATGACCAATTTACCCCCAAAGAAAGAAAAAAACATTATCATTAGAATCGTACAAAACTATCCAAAAGTGAATTTGGTAAAAAGGAAAGAAAAAAAGTTGGAGAATGAAGAAATAATGATATTTTGCATAGAGAACATAAAAAGCAGCTTAAAAAGCAATTTCTGCATATATTCTCGTGTAGTCAGATCGACGGTCCAGAATCACTCTCAAGTTAGACGGTCCGGATGTGGGGGTTGTACTCCTTTTAGAGCACAAGGTTCGATGTTTTGCTTTCGGCCTTAAGACAGGGACACCAGCTAATCTACGTGTTTGTGGGTCCCACCCCCTCTCTCTCTCTCAATGTATATTTGCGCGGGAAAAAGTAAAATGCTTGTTCCATGGCTTCGATTCGTTCAACAAATTTCATGGAATTATTCTCAAAAATTCAATTTCATGAAATATTTATCAAAACTATTGCACCCTAAACTTTTATAAATTTATAAATTCAATTCAATTTGGATTTCAAATTTTATTAATTTACAGAGGTTTATTTGTATATACAACACTTATTTGTTGGGTGTGAGCAGATTACTTCTAACAAATAATATTTGTAAATAAGAAATGTACTATTTCCTTCTCATATTATTCATTGTCTTTTAAAAATAGCTTATTTCAAATAATTTGTTACTTTAGAAATTCATAAAAATATTATTTCCTCCTTCTCATTTTATTTGTTTTTTTAGAGATTTTTTTTTTATTTCCTGACACTTTGGATTTTCAGTGAAGCATTTAATGTATTTTTCTCATATTTGGCCTTATTACTCTTAATAAAAAATAGGAGAAATAATTAATGAAACTGGTTTTTTAGTCATTTTATTATGATTTTCCCAGAATTCATCCATATTTATTAATTTTCTTAATATGTGCGCATCAACTCAAAACGATAAATAAAATAGGAAGGATGGAGTATTATATTTTTTCTCAACTCATCGTTTACTATTCTTAATTTATTGAGGGAATTAATGGTGAAACGACGATAAATAAAATGAGGTATTTTAATCACTTTTTATATTTTTATATAATTCAGTCATATTTATTAAGTTTCTTAATATATGAGACTATTTTGTATGTTATGTAGAATGAGAAACATTTCTTATTTATACATCCTTCATTCCCTTAGCATTGTTCGATTAATTTGGATTGAATTTAAATATAATAATTCCTAATGTTTAGAAAGATGTTCAATTTATTCTATTTGATATATAGTAATTAAGATTTTTACAACACCTCCTTAGTTGTTCGGAATTACGACGGATAATGTATTTGGTGGAAGGTTAGCAAGGTCTTCGGTCAAATTCGCCCAATAGATGGTGAAAATGCACAGTACTACAAGCAATTACTACTGCCCAAGCATTGCAATGGAGGAATATTATAGTGGAAGGAGATTGCTCCCAAGTTATGGATCCCTTGCGCGAAAAGACTCGAATCTCTCATGTCCTTGGAAGCTATTTAGATGAATGTTTTTATCTGTCTTATTACTTCTCAGTTTGTTCTTTTTCCTTCGTTAAAGAACATGCCAATCACTTGCTCATGATCTTTACGTCTATCTCTGGGACAAATTGTTTAGAAGGATCATCTATTCCTTCCAATTTGGGCTGAGTGCCTAATAATATTTCGTTTTTTCCTTAAAAAAATGTTAAAATTTGGTATTAGTAACTCCATAGTGTATATAAGTTATTAGTACTTCCAATTATTGTATTATTTGAGTGATAAGATCGTTTATTTTCCTTTTCATTTTAATAACGATCTATAAAATTAATGTCGAATGGATGATAAATACCATTTTCTGAATAGTAATATTTATTTTATAATTTTCATGTATTAATCTCTACTATTTAATCAATTGAATTTAATTGAACTAATCGAACAAGATACAGTCTCCCACAATAATACACCAAAGTATAGTATAATAGGACGTACACATAATAACTTGAACAAAATACTTTCAAAAAATATATCGAAAAAAATTATAATATTAGTTTTCATAATTGAGTTCGTAAAACATTTTCTTTCGGGAGAGATAATTTTTAAAAAATATAATTTTTTATACACTAAATTAATTTAAGGGTAAATTACAAGCACCCCCCTAGGTATGGTCAAATTACAAAAACACCTCTCTTGTTTGGATAATTACAACCACCCCCTCAACTCCTCAAATTTAGTGGAATCTTCGAGATTATATGGAATATTATCACTTGTGTACCCGTTTTATCCCATTCAAACTCTACATTATGAAGCAAGATGATCAGAATATGCGATTTTTAGCTTGTATATATATCAGTTTGTGGTGCATCGGAAACTGTATTTTTACACAAAACGAGTACAAACTAGAGCACATTCCACGGAATCTAGATGATTATGTTGAATTTGGCACAATAAGGGTGGAGGTGTAAGAAAAAATCATAGTTGAGGGGGGTAGATGCAATTATCCAAACAAGAGGGGGATTTTTGTAATTTGACCATATCTCAGGGGGTGTTTGTAATTTACCCTTAATTTAATTTGTGGCAAATTCGCCTTTACGTTAAAAAAAAAAAAACCATTTACAAAAAATATTAAAATTGGAGTTATTCCATCAAATCATGAATTAATCCAATTGTGGGACAATTGCTCTAGAAATTTGTTTGTATGTAAGAAATGTTTCTTTTAGGATATCTCACTTCAAGGCTAACCGAGGTAGCACTCTATATTCTTCTTGGGAGAGATGCAGTGAAGTAGAGAGAGAGAGAGAGAGAGAGAGAGAGAGAGAGAGATTGAGCCGAAGGTGGACGCTGCTTTGAAAAGAAAAAAAAAAAGGTTGGAATAATGTGATGTAATGATATTCCTTCTCTCTTCAATGCAAAGATTAGATTTTTATTTGGTTTGATTTTTTCTGGCACTGTTTCTCAATCAACTCAAGTGGGTACTCTCTGCTTCAAAAAAAGCTTCAGTCTTTTTTTGACCCATTTGGGGGTTTTCAAGATTCCCCTGTTCAAACTTTCTTCTCCGGTTTGAATTCCCATTTCACAACAGCAAGGTACGAGGTTTTCTCTAATGGCGAACAGGGCACAAGCGGTGGTAATAACAACCACAACCACTACTAGTACGAGGTTTCAGGTTTTGCCCTTCATTTTAATCTGTCTGAACAACGTCTTATCCGCTGAATGCATAGATAGGATTACCAAAAGCGAGCCCCCCAAAATCAAGAACCGGCTGCTTTTCAAGATTCTGCTGAGTGTGTTCTTGGGAATTATTACAGGTTTAATCTGTGCCCTTTTATTCGCTCTCTTAGCAAGATATTTTCTCAAGTACATTAACAGAAAAACCCCAACCCCCAAACCCCTTATTCTCTTCTCTCCGAAAATCTCTCCCAAAACACTAAAATCAGCTATGTCAAATGAACCCCACTTGCTTGGTTCAAGCTCCAATGGAGATTACTACAAGGTTGTCCTAGACAACGGCCTCACAGTTGCAGTTAAAAAGCTCAACCCCTTTGTTCCGAATACGTCGGCGACGACGAAGAAGAAGAAGCGAGTTAAACGGGAGCTCGATACGCTTTCGATCCTACGGCATAGGAATTTGATGAGTTTGAGGGGTTATGTGTTTGAATCTAATATATGCTCTTTGGTTTACGACTACGCCCCGAATGGGAGCCTTGAAGATGCGATGAGGAGCGCGAGGGAGGATCGGTTGGAGCTTAAATGGGAGGTTCGTCTTCGGATTGCTGTTGGGATTATTAGAGGGCTTTACTATCTTCATTTCAATTGTGAACCGCAAAGGCTGCATTGTAATTTGAAGCCTTCGAATGTTATCTTGGGGCCGCAGTTCGAGCCTCGTTTGGCGGATTGTGGGTTGGCTCCGATTCTTCCGGATTTTTCTCGTGCGGGCTCGTGTTACACTGGACCGGAGTGTTCTCTGAATTGTCGGTATGAAAAAAAAAAGCTCGTATTAAAATTTTATAATGAATGGAGTTGGCGATTATTTGATATGATTCGTTTTTGTTTTGTGCACTATTGTAGGTATACGGATAAAAGTGATATCTTTAGCTTTGGGGTGATATTGGGTGTTCTAATAACGGGTAAAGACCCGTTGGATCCGATGTTTGGGGAAGGAGGAAGCAGCTTAGGGGCAATGGCTAAGGCAAATGCAGCAAAGTGGGGAGGTTAGAGAAACGATAGACAAGAATATTTTAGGACAAGAAATTGAAGAAGACGAGATGGTTATGGCTGTTAGTATTGCAGTTGTGTGCATGTCGGAATTGCCTGCGGATCGACCGTCGAGCGATGAACTCGTTTCAATGCTGACTCAGTTGAATAGTTTTTGAATCGAAGACATAGAGAGAGAGAGAGAGAGAGCTTTTGGTTGTTCTCACGGCTTATACGGGGATGCTTTGCGTACTTAGGTTTGCCGTGAGAGCAACCAAATGAGCTCCGGTAGTGATTTTCTTGATTTCACCGATTAACGAGCAAAATATTATTATATATATATATGTTAATTAATTAGGAGTTTTTTTTTTTTTTTTTTTTTTTTGGTGTTGCAATAGTTTTCCATGTTGCTGCTAATTGATGTGGTATGAAGGAGGTGTTGAGATTGAAGCAAATTCCAGTTTCAATTATGGAGAGAGAGAGAGAGAGAGAGAGAGAGAGAGAGAGAGAGAGAGAGAGAGGAGAGAGAGAGAGAGAGAGATGAGCATTAATGTGGGTTTAGATGGTAATGGAGTGGTGGGGTTTTGTGTTTGTGGACACTTGATTTTGAACAAGGCCTCACATCACAAGCACCTTATTTTCTGACTCAATGTTGCTCCACTTCATCTTTTCCAGTTCATATCTTTAATTCTTCTTATTTTATTTTTGCCTAATTATTGAAATTGTGAATTAGAGATGATTTTTAATATTGATCCTTTGAAATTACAATTTTTATTTATTGGTAAAATGTTACAAATTGAAGACCACAATATTTTGAAAAAGTTGAAGTTGGTGATTGTGAACAAATTTGAAAGAAATATTTATTTCCAAAAATTAGGGTATTTACAAATGTTTGTTACAAAGTTAATTTTGAGTAGTTGAATTCATAAGTTTATATGTTTGTCAAATAAATGAAAATTACCAGCTTATTTTGGTAAATTATTTCAATTCATCCTTAAAAACTAAATTTACATAAAAAATGATAAGAGGGCTTTAATTATGAAAAAAATATATTTTTAGTCCCTAATACTGACACAATTATCACTTTTAATCCCCATTTGCGCCAACAAATAACACTTCAATGTTACCAACGTATGACAAATTTGGTCCCTCCGTCAGTTTAACCATCGGCAACAGTCAACAATCGAATTATGGTTCGAATTCAGATTATATTCACAGTAAATTGCAATAAGACCCCAATAATATTTTGATATGCTAAAAAAGTCCTTATATTAAAAAAAAAAAGGAGAAATTTCAGAAATTCAGTTAATTTTCAACAATACCCTCTAGTACCAGATATTGAAGTGCTATGGAGTACTTGGCCGATCTCGTTTTCTTATCCGAACTTCTTTTCTTAAGAATAAACGATCCCGAACCATCCCTTTCTGCAATACAAAAAAATTAATTATACGAAAAATCAATCAAATGCAGAGCGCGGAAACTAAAGGAAATAACTCGACTCAAAATTTTGCAACTGACCTTTAATAGTAGTGTAAATGCAGGGAATCCATCTCTTGTAAATATAGAGCAGCCTCGTGGCATCACCTTTGTGAGTGTCCGACAATACAAGTTCGCAACGACTCCTTTTACTGCCACAGTTTAATTTGATTTCAGTCAAATCAGTAAAATTTAATTATAAATTCTATGACATGATTATGAATAAACAATTTTGCTAGCTCACTTGGCGTGTTCGATGGCGTTTCGACAAAGTGCTAAAACTCGGACCATTGCCAAGTCTCGTCCTCGTTGGTTGTTATATCTCTCCTGCCAATTCCTTTTTTTTTTATCAGAAATCGAACCAATTAGCTTATTATATTATTGCAAATTTGCAATCAAACCATAAAGAACACAGAGTAGTAAATCTCTCGTTTTGTACCTTTGGTCGAAAAAATCGGGGAAATCGTGGATAATAACCGAAGCAGGAAACATATCGTGCAAGTGGAATGCAGCAAAATAATTCTTGATCCCTTCATCATCATCCACATACCTTCGTACAAATGTAAAACACAAAAATAAATTAAATAAAAATGTTACTACATATAACATATGTACTACTCAATTAATCAACGAATCAACATATTTTACTTGATTTGAATTCGTCGGAATAAATCGGAAGATGGATCAACGCCCTGAATTGAATTGAATTGAATTGAAGAGGGGTTTTAATTAATTATGAGAAAAAATAAAAAAAACAAAATAATATAATATAATAAATTACCTTAGAGAGGAAAGGAGGTCTGGTTTCTAGGGTTTGTCTGCTGCAAAGAATAACGACGGCGCCATTGCTCTCCGCTGCACTGTTTAATGCGAACTGGAAAAGCAGTGAGGTTTTACCACTGCGAATCAAAAGTTAAGAAAATCGATTATTCAAATTAATTAGGATAAACAAAAATGTTGCTGGAAATTTTCGGTTACGAGGAAGGCGGGCCGGAGAGGAGAGTAATCGGGTCGGATTGACCCGGAAGCTCGAATTTTGTCCTGTCCGTCGAGAAAAATCTCTCCACCATTTTCGCCGCTCATACGAAATCATTTGTCAGCATTATGTACTGTTCTTATATTTGGGGGGAATTTGCTAAGGAAAACTCAACCATATATATGTAATATATCACAATTACCACATTGAGAACCGAATTTAACCTTGATTTCATAATTTAAACCCAATTTATTTCCATTTCTCAAATTCTAATTTTTTATTTAAATAAAAAATTGATCGATACAAAATTTATAGCAAACTAGTAATTTACCTTTGCGATGGGGAATCAATTCTAAGTCCAATTATTTTAATGACTAAAACACGTTGATACTGTAAATCGGATACACTCATGAATGAAAAGAGGATGCTGATGCGATGCTTTGCTTGTGGGTAATATAAATAAAATAAAAATATGTTTTAAATAAAATAATCGAACGAAAACTTTGAATACTTGATATATAATACGTTATAATCTAAAAAAAGTAAAGACAATATCCATTCCATTTGCTTTAAGTACCGAGATAAACAAAATAATTGATAAAAGAAAATATAATATAAGAAAATTGTGCTATAAAAATTAAGATATATTATTTGACCCAAGTTTGTTTATTTATGCATGATCAAGGGAACCACATATGGTTGTTCTCAAGCGTATCATTCGCTACATTCGAGGCACTCTCGACCACGGTTTTTATCTTTCCACTACTCCGGACTTATCTCTTGTCGCTTACTCCGACGTCGATTGTGATGGATGCCCTGAAACTCTTCATTTGCAATCAGACTATTGCGTCTTCCTCGGCAACAACCTCATCTTTTGGTCTTCCAAACAGTATGTCACTACTTCTCGGTCTAGTGCAGATGTTGAATATCGAGCTGTCGCAAATACCGTCACCGAAATAACATGGTTACGAAACCTTTCAGAGTTGCTCTACCCTCCTCCGCAAGCCACCATCGTTTATCGTGACAATGACAGTGCCGTCTACCTATCCGACAATCCTATTCAACACTCTCGCACGAAACATGTGTAAATTGATATTCATTTTGTCCGCGATAAAGTTGCTTTATGACACGTTCGAGTCCTCCATGCCCCATTTGTTGGGATGTGAAGCCCAGGATTCAATGAAAATTCGCAAGAGGTTACAGATTAGCCGGTTTTAATTTTATTAACATGCTTTGATTAGATTCGTTTAAAAATGAATAAATCTAATCTAGCAGCTTACAGTTTACGCAAGCAGATTCGTTTCTATCTTCGGCCCGCGAGTGAGGATCCACACCAAGCCTTCAATCCTCGAAATACTGCTGTCCAGAAATTTCCATTCATCTTCCTTCACCGATATCTCCGAGATGGTTAATCTGATGAAGAAACCCTTCGGTCAGATTATAGTACTATGGGTTAGGAAGCTACTGTATAAATTTCAAGCCCATCGAATGAAAGGTTGATTTATGGCGAATTGCTTCGCAGAACTGCTCAGAAAATTCGGGAATAAATGTTTGCTCTAAAAACCTATAGTCTTCTATTGTAGATCTCAAATTAATAATTCTTCTACAAGGGTGGACTTGTACTTGAAGAAATCTAAATCTATAATCGAGAAATTTAGAGAGAAAAGAAGAAGATATAAATACTTTCTCTCCAAGGTGAAATAGGCATGTAGTATTATATGTCTCTCTCATCAACCTAATCTCTATTATATATAGCACAAGGGATTAGAGTCACACATAGAGAAGATTATATGGAAACAAATCCCACTCCTTCATAACTCTATATATTCGAAAATTGCAATCCAATGGGGACTTGGTTTTCGGCTATATTAATTCCAATATATAATATTGGTTGAACTTTATTTTCTCGATTAATTAGAAAATCCATTGGGCTACAATTGGGACTAAAGGAGAAAATATAAATCGGGCAACTAATAATTAATTAAATCCAAACTCTTAAAAGAATTCATTTAATTAATCATTAAATAATTATTTATTTTCCACTACCAAATAATTATTGAACTCCCGTTTATATTCTCAAATATTACATTCGACCTCCGGTCGATCATTACTTAGATTCTCCCCACATTAAGATATCTTATAACCACCAAATAATTTATTCACTGCTAAATAAATTAAATGGTTTCTTTTCATGAATCTTACCCTCTTAACTTATTTGAGTATGCCGGATACGAAATCCACCTGGCCAGGACTTCGCATAAACAAATCTTATAAGCTACTCAAGGGTTATTATCAATCTCATATTTCAGAGATGTGGATTCCTTTTGATAATTAATTTCCACCTATTAATTCTTAATGTTTCTACCCAACGCACTGGAGGCCATTTGACTCAATATATAAATCTCTCACATCGTAACATCAAAGTAGAGATCATCAATTAAATGTGTACGTTAATTATCTAGGGATTAAGAGAGTAAGTAATATACTGTCAACTAGAAATAATACAGTTTCATTTATGAACAGTGATGATACAATTATTTCACTTTGTCCGGTTCAACACATGCCGGGTGTGCTAGCACAATAAATCAAAACAATAACTACAAAAGTTATTCTCTGTTTACAGTGATCAAGACCAATCACTTACATATTGTGCTACAATCTTTTACCAATGGATAGTCATTTCCATCTAGATTGTGAACGTTTATCTTTATATTCTAAACGAACTTTCGAAATGATCTTTCTGTGCGCCGTAGCTTACCATTTCGAATACTATTAGAATATTAGACTTATGCTTTTAATTTATTGACAAACAATCAATTAAATGCATTGAATACCCTAGTGCAGATTCTCATAAAATAATAATAAACTAATTTATTAATACAATAATAAAAATGTAGCTAAAAGAGAGACTTTTAATCTACTATCCTAACACCATTTGCCTACCAGTATGCTGATATCTTCACGAAAAGCCTTTGGACCCAACTATTTCGAGAGTTTGTCTCCAGTCTTCACGTCATTTTCATTCCCGTTTCGACTGCGGCGGTGTATTAGCCGACTATTGTTATTATTATTTATTATATTATTCTTGTAGATATATTTTGTAATCTTTGCACGTGTATCTCTTAATTACCTTGTGTAATTGATTAGGGTTCTCTACATGTAACTATATATATCAATAATATACGTGAGATATACAATTATCTTTTTCTCTAATTATATTCTTCATATATCAACCACATTGATATTACTGTCAACCACAACAATATTAATTTTTTTGGCCTTTTATTATGTTTGTCTTTGTTGACCGGTCAACATAATAATATTACTGTATAACACAATCATTTATTACGTAACATAGTGATTTTGTTGTTTTAATATTACTGTGCTAGATAGTACTATAGCAATATGTCTGTGTTAAACAGTAATATAGTTAATATTACTATCAACCACAAAAATATTACTGTTTTTTATGAGGACAGAAAAATGTTCAGAAAAAAAAAATTCAACGTCGCTGGAAACTTTCATTGACTGCCGATCAGCGGCAGCGGCAGCGGCGACAATAGGAAAAATAAAAAAGTCAACGCCGGAGACTGACGTTCAACAGCGGCGGCTGACAGTTAAAATTAGAGTCAAAATTAGGTTAGAGATCAAAATTAAATAATTGGTGAAAATTGAGGTCAATTTGAAGTTAAATTGAGTTAAATGGATGAAATATGAATATATTAAAACGTTAGAGGGTATTTAGTCTTTTGTACAGCTCTGAACTTTGTGTGAACTTTTTGGTAAATAAAGTCTGGACTTTTTGGTAAATAAAGTTTGAGTAAAAAGCAATTTGCCCCCTAAATTAAGGACCGTTTTGCACTTTGCCCCCAAAACAAAAAAAAGTTGCACGTTTTTACCTGAACTCGTTATTTTATTGCACGGTGCCTCTAAAGTGGAATTTTCAGGCGATTTTAGCCGGAATATTAAACACGTGCTCTGCACGTGAGATTTAAAGGGATAAATTCGTCAATTCACTTATATTATATATTAAATATTAATTAATCGTTAAAAAAGAAAAAGAAAAAAACCCACCATATATCCTCTTCTCCCCCCTCTCTGTTTCTCTCTCTACTCGTCTCCATCACCACCCCATTCTCACATTTCCTTCAATTTCTGCCCCTTCATCACAGTCCTTCAATTTTTGCCCGATTTTAAAAAAATCGCAACCAAACTAAAAAAATGATTAATTCGGCGGAGGCAGGGGCGCCGGTGGCTGGGACTCTTCCGTTGTGCTGCTGCTGCATTTGGTGTTATCAATTGAGTTTAATATGTGTTTTCAGTAATTCTTGATCTCATTGTCTGTTCTTCCAGGCAATCTTCCAGCTATCAAAGACCATATGCCGGAAAAAAAAAATTCATTCTTTAATCAATCAATCAAACCCTAAAAATAAAAATGCATTCTCTAATCAATCAATCAAACCCAATCAAAAAAAAATTGAAAAAGAAAAGGGGCGTACTTATTTCCAACCAAGCTATGGAGTTTGATGATGATGTCATCTTCTTCATCAGTGAAATTGCCTCTTTTTAGGTCAGGTCCCAAGTAATTAATCTACCTCAATCTGCAGCTCTTGCCGCATCTAAGCAATCCTGCAATTAAATCATAAAATTAATTAAAATCAGCAAAACCCCCAATTACAAATTGAAACAGAACCAAAATTGAAAAAAAAAACAGAGGCATGCATAAAGAGATTGTACCTGCTGCTTTGGGGAGGGAACGCCAGCAGCCCTCGCCATGGGAGCGTATGTAATTGATGAGACGGTGGTCTTCTTCTTTAGTCCAAACTAAAAAAATGATCAAAAACGATTAATTCTCATTACTTGAAGAAAACTCACATAAAACCCATAAACAAATGTCGATTTGTCCAAGTAAGAACACCTCTTCATGATTTGGTTCAACACCGCTGCTTGGGAAAGCTTGTTTGATTTTTTGATCGCCATTTTTTTTAGTTTGGTTGCGATTTTTTTATAACCGGGCAGAAATTGAAGGAAATGTGAGAATGGGGTGGTGGTGGAGACGAGTAGTAAGAGAGACAGAGAGGGGGAAGAAGAGGATATATGGTGGGTTTTTTCTTTTTCTTTTTTAATGATTAATTAATATTTAATATATAATATAAGTGAGTTGACGAATTTATCCCTTTAAATCTCACGTGCAGAGCACGTGTTTAATATTCCGGCTAAAATCGCCTGAAAATTCCACTTTAGAGGCACCGTGTAATAAAATAACGAGTTCAGGTAAAAACGTGCAACTTTTTTTTGTTTGGGGGGCAAAGTGCAAAACGACCCTTAATTTAGGGGGTAAACTGTTTTTTACTCATAAAGTTTTGACATGGACTTTTTGTTTTATTCTTATAATTCTTTCTACTAATTATAATTCTTCATTTTTATTTGCTACCATCTATATCTTTTATGAGTTAGTGATAAGTGATGACATGAAATAAAAATTATTAATTGTGTCGATAGCATGAAAAATAAGTTAATATATGTTATTATATTACTCATTTTTAATAATATAATTTAAATTTGAACTGTATTTTTATATAAAATAATATCTATTAAAAATTGGTAATTAGTTTATATATGAAATATTCATTAAAAAAAAGATATTTCAAGAGATCTCGGTAATATTAAAATAAGTGATCACATGAAAGAATCCTTTCATTTTAAGTTGAGTTCTTGCACTTAGAGCCTGTTTGGCTAAGCTTATAAGTTGTTCAAACATCTTTGTAAAATGTTTAAGAGCTTATAAGTTCTTAAAAAGTGTTTGGTAATATTTTTATAACAGATCTTAAGAATTTTAAAAATAAGCTGTTGAAGACCTTATACGCAGTTTTTTTAAAAGTACATACCCGCCAACTTTTTTATTTAAGATCTTTTTGGTTTAATTACTTTAGATTCAAAATACTAAAATACCCTCAAATATATTTTAGCATATTCCCTCAACAGCCTCCTTCGTCTAATATATATCGTTAAATTATTACTCACTTGCGTATTATGTTAAATCCTAGGCATTATTGGACAAGAAATATTTCAACGCAATTGATTATTTTTTGGTAAGTACGTGAGATCGATGATTATCAATACGTGTATTTCAACTTTTCCTTTTGTTTGGCTTGCTCACTTTTCATGAATTTTATTAGCAATCATAACCTATTTTCATTTTTGATTTGAAACTACTGGAATTCTTGATTTGAAACTACTGATAAATTATACGGATTATCTTAATAATTAAATTACTGGTATTTTATATCTTATGTGTATGATTTTTCAAGATGACACTTTGCAATTTGTTTCCATATCAGTTTGATTTCTCTCGATATTAGGTCTTGACGAAACATATTTTTTTAATTTTTTTAATTTATTTTGAAAATGAAATAGATTTTTTAATTTTTTTTATCGAAGAAATAGAACTAGATTAGAAGAATGAAATATGGGTTTGTGTGTTAAAATTTGATTCTAGTTCTCTTCTACTAAGATTGAAATGAAAATGTAAGTTATTGGTCAGTTTTTTTTATTTTAAAGTAGGTATCAAGAAAGAACAACTTCATGGGTGTTTATGTCATTTTCGGTCATTACAATAGTAAACAGATCTTATAATGCCAAACAGTTTAAGAGCTTAAAATGAAAAAGAGCTTATAGGTTCGTTACCAAAACACTATAAAAATTAATTTTACAAATAAGACGTAACAACTTATCGGATCTTAAAATAACTTATTATATGTTATAACTTTTAGTTGTTTAAAACAAGCTTAGTCAAACGGGCTCAATATGGTTCCAAGTTTTAAATATAATAATTAATTTGTTTTTATATATTATTTTAATTATGTAATCTTTAAGCATGATAATGTGAACTCATAATTTAAAAAGTATACTAAAAAAGGCATGATAATGTAAACTCATAATTTAAAAATATAGTAAAAAAATTAATATGTTGACAGTGGGATTCGAACCCACGCCCTTTCGGACCAGAACCTTAATCTGGCGCCTTAGACCAACTCGGCCATATCAACATGTTCTCTACAATTAGAATTTTCGTTTTTAATTATCATTGTACTGATAATCTATACACACATTTTTTAATTATAAAAAATATAAATTTCATCATATATTGATTTGAATGAATTTTCAAACTCTATAAATATATTATATTTGCAAGAAATTAAAATACATAACAATTAATATTATATCAAAATATATGGAATGATGAATTTTTAATTAATTGATAAAATGTAATTAATATAATTTATATCAATCAATGATATACTCTATATTTGTTTTCATTTCCAGGCATGTTGCTAAATAAATTTTTTGATAGATTCAATTGAATTATTAATGATTTATTTTATATATAAAACTAGGATATACAATTAATGTTATTTAATCGAGAAAATTGAGTCCACAATACTTCATTAATTAAAAAAACCCCAATGTCCATAATTAACCACCTAATTACCAATTTATCAAAAAAAAAAAAAACAGATTCGGTTTCATCAATTTTAATTGCATAATTGAGAGACAATTATTCACGCTTGAGACATATATGCAAATTTACATAAATTAGTTTATTTGTTTTCTCTATTACATTTATCAATCTACCTATAAATATACTATTCAACACATTCACATTTTGCATCTTGTTAGTTTTTCGGAGATACTGCATTTGATGCCATTATGCCAATGTATGTCGGAAATGATGTATGAAAAAGACTAACATTGGCATCACATGCATGCAATAGTTGGAACATCTTTGCCCTTTTCATAGTATATGTTTAATTATTGATTTATTTTGAATTTTGATTCCTTTATTCAATTGTATTAAAAAATCCATCCACGTACATATATAGTCCCTTACAACGCATTTAAAAACTAAAACTGAATTATGCAAACAAAATTTGAAAATACAAATTTATTGGGAAAATAAAATTTGTATCGTCCATGATTTTTATAGATTCTTAATTATTTATGATAAATTGAAGTATCTTGATTTGCTTATTTGGTTTCTAGAATTGGATAATTAAGGGAATTGACTTTAATTACATTAAAACTTCCAATAAAAGATAATAAAAACTACTATACTACATACACAATTAAAATCTCTTAATTGATGAACAATATTATATACAAAATATAAATTTTATTATATTTAATTTTTATTAATTAATATATTAATTATAGAATCAATTAGAATCCGCTCACGTAAATTAGATGTACAATACTGCTCTCGGGCACGCCGGC